GCCTTAGAAACCTAAGGAGGGGTCCCTATGAGTCAAGTTCGACTCGACAGCAATGAGTTCAGTTATTTGTTTTAGTATCAATAAAATTACACTCAACGTGAATGGACTAAACACAGAATGGCAGATTGGATAAGAAAAGAAGACTCATCAATATGCTGCCTACAATAGACCCACCTCAGACACAAAAATAAAAATAAATTAAAAATCAAGGGGTGGGAAAAAAACATATCAAGCTAAAGGCAACAAAAAAAGAGCAAGAGTGGCAATATTATTTTCTGATAAAATAAACTTCAAGGTGAAAACCAGAATAAGGGACAAAGAAGGGCACTATAAGGGCACTGGTAAGATTTATTGCAAAACATACACAAAAACAAACTCAAGATGGATCAGACTTAAATGTAAAACCCCAAACTCTAAAGTTCATCAAAGATAAAATAGGGACAAACCTAGGGGCCCTAATTTATAGCATATATAGACAATCAAGCATAACACAAAGCACAAGCAGCAGAAGAGAAACTAGATGACTAAGACCTTGTAAAAAATAAAATTTCTCTGTGCATTGAAAGACTTCTCCAAAAAAATAAAGAGAGAACCAACAGATTGGGAAAAAATATTTCGCTATGACATATCTGATAAGGGACTTATCTCTAAAATTTACAGAAAACTCCAACACCTCACCAACAAAAAGACAAACAATCTAATTCAAAAATGGGCAAAGGACGTGAACAGACACTTCACTAATGCCAAAGGGGCAAGGAGGTGGCATCTTCTGACCTCTAACTTTACAGGAGGAAGACAGAATCACCATCAGCATCCCAAGGCCTGTTCTTATGAGGCCATATATGCCAGCACCCACCACATCTCTGCTGAGTTTGGTAAATCACTGCAGTGGCTACACAGAAGTCATAGATTATGGAGTTTATTAGGGAAGGAACAGGCTACAATTCAAATTCAGGAATGCATTCAGGATACAGTTCTTCAGTCAGGACTGGCTCCCCTCTGCTGTGCCCTTAGACACACCTCTCTGGTCCTTTGTCTCTTGACTTGGCCTCTGCCTCTGTGGGCTAGGTAAGCCTACCACTCTGTCTTGTGCCTCTTGGTTTCACTGCCACTGTTTCTCAGCTGGGCATTTCTCTCAGCTGGGTGTGTCTCTTTCAGCTGGGCATCTCTCTCAGCCAAGCATCTCTCTCTCAGCAGCAAGTATCTCTCAGCAGCATGTCACTCTTAGCCAGCAGTCAGATTCCTTCTGCCTCTAAGAGGGCTCAGTTTGAGTCTGACAAAGTGGCAAAACCAACCAATCCCAACATCAGAGTTCTACATGCCTGAGAGAGAGCAAATTTTCCCAGAAAATTATTTCATGCTGCTCTAACAGAAATACCAAAGGTGGATTACTTTATCAATCAGGAGTTTAAATTGCATTGTGCCACCCAGTAAGCTGGTGGGAATTACAAAGACTATGGCTAGAAAATCCATACCATGTAATTTACTACACCAAGAAGATACACAAGCGACCAACTAACACATGAGGAAATGTTCATGATCATTAGCCATTAGAGAGATGCATATCAAAACAGCAATAATAGCAAAGGTCAACAAAAGAGAAAATAAATGCTGGTGAGGCTGTGGAGAGATTGGACCTCTCAAACACAGTTGGTGGGACTATAAAATGATACAGTCGCTGTGAAAAATTATATGGCATTTCCTTAAAAAATTGAAAATAGAAATATCATTTGATCCAGAAATTCCATTAATAAGAATATATCCTACAGAGGTGAAATCCAGGACATGAATAAACATGAACACCCATGTTTGTTGCAGCAGAATGCACTATAGCAAAGAGATGGAAACAACCTAAGGGCTTATCAACAGATGAATGGATGATAAAATTATGGCACATTCACACAATGGAATACTATGCAACATTAAAGAATAATGAAGAATCCATGAATAATTGCATAATGTAGATAAATTTGGAGGACATTTTGCTCAGTGAAATATGTCAATCACAGAAGGACAAATATTGTTTGAGTACAGTATTGTAAAAAGTGAAGGAAACATAGAAGGAAATTCACTAAATTTGTTACTGAGGACGAGAAGGGGAGGGTAAATTTTGGACTAGTTGGGGGTCATATGTTGATTTGGGTGAGGAGGGGGGCAATATGGCAAGAGTGTGTGACCAACACAATGATAATGTGGAAAGGGAGGACACAGAAATGTGTACAAAAGATACAGACAACAGAGGCAAATACTGTTAAATGCACAATACTGCATTACCAGTGGCAGTAAACACTAGGCTATGGGTAAATGTATAGACAGGTGAGAAGATCAGGTGGCGGTAGGTGAACCAGAATATACCCAAAACCAAGGATAAATTTGACTGAAGATAGTCTTACATATGTACTTGTGCTACAAAATTTACAGCAAACATTACAGAAGTAACAGAGGACAAGGTTGGAGTAGCTCTCAGAGACTATCAAACACCTTGAGAGGGAGAATCACTGGGCCTGCAGGCTCAGGGACATAGTCTCAGGGAACATCATGTTCAATTGGCACAACATAGTTCTACATCCTACTTTGGTGAGCAGTGACTGGGGTTTTAAAAGCTTTTGAACAGCCATCTAAGATGTAACTATTGGTCTCTTCTCATCTGTATCAAAGAAGAGTGAATAAAATCAAAGTAATTTGGAAACAATTAGTCCAAAGATATGATGGACCATGAGGACCGCCTTCATGACCCTGAGACCAGAAGAACTAGATGGTGCCTGGCTACCAATGCCAACCACTTAGAAATGGATCAAAATTGGAGATCCTGGATAGAGTGGGAGGAAAATGTGGAACAAAATTCAGAAACAAAAATGACCAGAATCACTGGTCGGATAGAGACTGGTGGAATACCCCAGATTATTGCCCTGGGTTACCCTTCAGGCCTGGAAATGGACTCACTTCTATGGATTAGCTCTCAGCCCAACAGTAGAAAGACCTACAAGCAGAACACCCACCCCAGGGAGATGCACCCACTATTAGGCATCAGAAGGGCAGCATTCACATAGAGGGAAAGCTGGACAGACAGGAATGCATAGATGAGAAGGGCATAGGGAAGGGGTAGTCATTGGGAAGAAAGGGAAGAAGAGCTTTTTATGGTTAGGGATTGTAATCAGGGCCATGAAGCCAACAGTCCATGAACTTTTGAGAGTAAAATGAATCTGCTTTGTAAATTTGCACCTAAATCACAATAAAAATAAAT